TTAGTACGGAGAGATTGAGACAGAAGGAGGTACTGGATAGAGAGACCGGGATGGTTTTTAATGTGAAGACAACAACAACAACAACAACAATAACAACCATGACAACGGGGCAGGAATCAGTTTCCGCCCCTGCGAAACAACACCAAACATCAACTCTTCCGCTTTAAGTCAATAATGGCCGGGCAATACTTTTTTCTCATGACCTCCCTGCCTACTCTGCTGTGTTGTGTACCTTGATCTTGCTTTGCTGTTGCCTTTGTTTTTGTACGTCTGGCTGTCTGCCCATCTACCGCCTCTTTGCCCTGTTTGCTCCGTTACTCCCATGCCCTGGTGCGCAGTGCCTGGTGCTGGTACGTTACCCTTTGATTTTTTCTTTGGGCGGGTGTGGGAAGCGTCCTCCTTTATTTTCCTGTTATTTTTGTTTTGTTTTATTTTGATCGGTGTCCGAGGGCTCTTTTCTCGAACGGTCGGTGCGATATCTGTTCTTTTCTTTCTATCATTTTGTTTTCTTTTTCCGAGTGGTTTGTACCCTATTTTTGTTTTTTTTTGTTTTCTCGTGGCGTCGTGTGTGCCGGGTTTTGAGACCACGGGCTCCCCATTTTTTGTGGACTTAGAGCTAATGTGAGAAACAACAACAACAACAACGTACCCCAGCACAATCGTTCCGTTAGGAAACATGCACACAGGCGTACGATACCCCGTGGACGACTGCTTGCTACAGCAGTCTATATGCGAGACGCACGGGTCACGCTGTGAAAGCGAGACCGATTCAGCATGGTTGACATAAACATGCATATATAAATATTTTTCTTTATATTTATATGTGCGTGTGTGTTGTCTGCTGTGTGTCGCAATTGCGATGTGCCGTGTGTGCGTGCGTGCGTTGCCTGTTGTTGTTTCTCACATTAGCTCTATAGTCCACAAAAAATGGGGAGCCCGTGGTCTCAAAACCCGGCACATACGACGCCGCGGGGAAACAAAACAAAAATAGGGTACAAACCACTCGGAAAAAGAAAACAAAATGATAGAAAGAAAAGAACAGGTATCGCACCGACCGTTCGAGAAAAGAGCCCTCGGAAACCGATCAAAATAACACAAAAACAGAAATAAAGGAGGACGCTTCCCACACCCGCCCAAAGAAAAAATCAAAGGGTGACGTACCAGCACCAGGCACTACGCACCAGGGCATGGGAGTAACGGAGCAAACAGGACAAAGAGGCGGCAGATGAGCAGACAGCCAGACGTACAAAAACAAAGGCAACAGCAAAGCGAAATCAAGGTACCCAACACTGCAGAGTAGGCAGGGAGGCCATGAAAAAAGAAACACAGCACAGAGGCCGAAGGCAGTACAAAGGACACACATAAAGGAGAATAGCATACAGCAGGGAGGGAAACAGGGCGCAACAACATCAGTCGGGTACCTAGTTCGCCGCAAGTGCTGCCTCGGCCGCCCTACTCGCCTCTACAGCAGCAGTAGTGCCCGGTTGCCGTTTCTTCCCCCCCACCGCCGCTTCCCCGGCTCTCTTTCTCTTCGGTCCTGAGATGGCCGTACTCTCTGCTTCTGCTTCCCTCGCGCGCTGGCGCTTCGCGGACGCTTCCGCCTCCTGCCTGTGCCATTTCCTCATGAACCATGCCGCCCCGTCCTCGACCTTGTTGTACCACACCTCCGGGCCCTTGGCGCTCTCTTTCCATTTACCCCCTTCCTTTTCGTCTCCCATGTTGAAGGCCACGAGGTCCTCTCCTAGACGAGACACCCAGTCGCTCTCCTGCCCGCCCCGGTATCCCACGCCCCCCGCCATCGCTCCTAACAGCATGCGCTTGGGGAGGCGGCTGTCCTCCATGCGCATAACAAAGCCCGCGAAACACAGTCTCCGTTTGCGCACGGTGGCCTCGATGGTTTCCTCGCAGCCTGCCTGGATGTGGGCCTGGGCATAGGACAGGGGGCGGTCTGAGCTTTTT